GCTTTTTTGTTACATGAAAGAAGTCGACTAAAACGGATATATATACTCTCATGTGTCTCTCAATCTGTTAATAAAGGATTCAAGATGAGGCTGGTAATTATAATTACTTCAATTAAAAGTCATTATAGTTGACAGAGCTACAATTGCTTTTTATTTATAAGTAAGTTTGTAAATATAACCTTAAAATGCGCAAGTTTCTTGATGAGGAAAAATTAGAGATTTACATATATATTTGATATAGAGAAACTAGGATTGTTAGAGGAATAATAATTAACGGAAATTCATCATTATTAAATTGATCAGTATAATTTATGATACATTTCCAATGTATTTGTGCTATTATGAGTTCCAGTTTTAAGTTTGTATTGACATGCAGTTTATGGAACTGAAAAATTTACTAATTTTAATATTACTAAGCACCAAGATTCGCTTTGACAGAAAATAGAATTATTTCTATTATTTAACAAATAATAATCATTATCTAGAAGTTCTGTATTATATATAAAATTAATTTATTAGCTTCGTTGTACTTTGTAGTATAATGAAGAACTATTAGATAAAAATAACAATATCTTTCATATTGATACATTGTTTATAAAAATTAATTAACAATTTGATTTTTTTTTAGTATTGCCTATCCAGTGAGCCAACAAAGCCATGCTTGGTTCTAACTTTCAAAGGAACCACACTGATGTTGGATTGCGGTTTGAATATGCAATCCATTTTGCATTTCATGCCTTTGCCCATGGTACCTAGCAACAAATTTAATTCCTTGCCAACATGGCTGCCGCGCAATGATAATCAACAAGATTGGCAAATTGAAGGAGTTAGTGAGATAGAATTTAATTATTTAATCCTTTTCAATATATTAATTGTTAAATTATTTTAAACAGCAATTGCAAATAATTATTTTTATTTTAAGGAGCTGAAAGAATGTTGCGGTAGAGTCTTTGTAGATTCAGTTCCAGAATTCACTCCCCCTTTGGAGAAAATAATTGATTTCTCAGAGATCGATGCCATTTTGATATCCAACTATACATGTATGCTCGCGTTGCCATTCATAACGGAAGGCACAGGTTTCAAAGGTATAACAAACATATGCAAAATGATATACTTTGATAAAAGTTATGTACAGATATAAGCAAAAGGGCTATTATCTTGGAAACGGTGATAGATGCGGCAAAATATCACAGGATTATTTCAATTTCTCTTTAGAGTTATGAAAAATGTCTTATGCATTGGAGTCGTATGTATCACTGTTATTGAGGAAACTATCTCAACATCTAAATCTGGTTGTAATTTTTTTGGTAAAGAGTGTATGTAGAGTGTTTGGCAACAAGTGGAAAAAAATTTAAAAAGTAATTCTCTAGATAAAATAAGTTAAAAATAAAAAATAACAAAATTGCGAATTTGACTTCATTTTTATGTGCATATATGAACGTTAAAACATTTATAATAAGAAGCGAAATCGAAGTTGCAATTTCATTCTTGATTTTCGTCTTATTTTTATTATCTATAGAATTTTTTAATTTTCTTCCATCTGTTGCCAGATATTCTGTGTATGCATTAATCTATAAACACAATTCGAAGGTATAATATATGCTACCGAACCGACATTGCAAATTGGACGGTTTTTCATGGAGGAATTAGTAGAGTTTATCGAGCGGACTCCTAAAGCAACAATGGCTAAACATTGGAAGGACATGTTACATACGTTGCCATCTCCATTAGCTGAAGTTGTTAAACCAAAATCTTGGAAACATATTTATTCCATGTCGGCTGTGAATTCGGCGCTATCAAACATTCAAATGGTTGGATATGATCAAAAGCTAGTAAGTTTAAGACACACGCAAATTAACATATTAAGATAACATATAAGATTCATAAAAAACGACCCAATCACATTCGAATTACTTGCAGGATATATACGGTGCTTTAACAGTGACACCAATCAGTTCGGGGTTCTGTTTAGGTAGTAGTAATTGGTTGATTTCTAGCGATCACGAAAAAGTTGCTTTTGTCAGTGGTTCATCTACACTGACTACTCATCCAAAGCCCATGGATCAAGTCACGTTGAAGCACGCAAATCTGTTGATTTTGACAGGTTTAACGCAAACGCCAACTGCTAATCCAGACACAATGCTTGGGGAATTGTGCATGACTGTTGGTAATAATCTCAATATCTGATAATATCTCAATATTGCGATATACCCAGCAAAAAGATAATCTCTTGATTAAAATTATATTCCTTAGGAGAATTAAACAAATAATAAAATCAATTTATTTTTCTTACGAGATTTTTTTCTGACAAAATTGTTTTCTTTATTAAGTGCATTATTATTCGGATTTTTATCCTGGTTATTTTTTGAACAAAAATATAATTTAAGTAATGATTTTATCTTACCATATAAAAATGTTGCAGCTGTGACTCTTAGAGCTGGTGGATGTGTCTTGATACCCTGTTATCCCTCCGGCGTCGTGTATGACTTATTCGAGTGTCTGAGCACTCATCTAGACAAGTCGGGCTTCACGCAAGTGCCTCTATTCTTCATCTCACCTGTGGCGGAGACATCCTTGGCTTATTCAAATATTCTTGCTGAATGGTATAATCAATGAAGTGATTCTAAAATATTTCTGATGTATTGCATTCTATTATTTTTTAATTTTGCATTTTACTATCATTTTTTACTTTTAGGCTATCAACAAATAAACAAAACAAAGTTTATCTTCCAGAGGAACCGTTTCCACATGCTTTCCTCGTGAAGAATGCTCGATTGAAGCATTATACATCTACATACGCTGAAGGATTCAGCAGTGATTACCGACAGCCTTGTGTCGTCTTTTGCGGCCATCCCAGTCTTCGATTTGGCGATGCCGTGCACTTCGTGCAGTTATGGGGCGGCAATCCTTTGCATACCGTAATTTTTACCGGTAAGGTTACATAATTCAAAAAATAATGTAATAAGTTTGCGTTTGCAATTCTACATAAAAATTCTAGAAATAGGATAAATTATTCAATCAACATTGGCTCCATCATCCGGTGATTGAGTCTTTTCTAAAAATTCACTCTTTATCAATATTTGCAAATAAGTATTTTACGTAATGTGGTTGTCACATATACATTTTTTAATAAAAGGACCAAGGAAATTTCTGTAGGGTCTCTTGCTCTTACTTCATGCAAGTTATGAATTTAAAAATCCATATGTGGGATGTAGAATCTAGCACTCGAAATTAGATAAATATTAAATATCAAACAAATATACGTAGGACAAATATATAGTTAACATTAAATATCTCTAATATCTCTTTCTAATATTGCAATAGTTAATACAAGCTACGTATTTTTCTTAGTACTTTTTGTATATCCATATATAGTATACGATTGTTTTATTAATATTTTCTTTATAACACATTATTTATATTTATATAATTTTCTTACAGAACCTGATTTTCCATATTTGGAAGCCCTCGCACCTTTTCAACCATTGTCTATGAAAGCAGTGCACTGTCCTATCGATACTTCTCTGAACTTTACTCAGGCTAATAAACTCATTCGAGACTTGAAGCCAGAGCACTTAGTAATTCCGGAGGTTTACACACAGCCTCCCGGAATGGCACCGCATAGAACGGATCTTGTCATCGAATCCATTGGGGTAGATATACGTTTTTTTATTTAATGAAAAATTTCTCTTCTTTTTATACAATTTATGTTTACAATTCTCTGTTTTGTATTCTTTCTTTACTATATTTATAAAATATGTATATGTATTAAAAAAAAAAGTATATAAAATAACTTGCATAATTACTTTGTTCAAGGAAAAACCCTTGATTACTTTCAAACGCGGAGAGGTGATAAAATTGCCATTAAAGCGGAAGAAGGGCCGTGTGTTTATTGAGCCGGAATTAGCTAGCAATATTGTACCGAGTGAAGTGCGGCCTGGCTTGAGTCTCGCATCTGTTACCGGCGAACTTGATGTCAAGGACAACGTGTATACTATAAAAGTAATTACTAATATGTATAAAGATAAATATGAATTTCACGGTCAAGATAAATATTACGACAAGCTTTTTTGTAGAAGATATTTTCAATTAAAGAGATTTACTGGGAGAAAAAAAGTGCAATATATTTAATGTTATATATAATTTCGTTTCTAAATCTGTAACATTTCTAGAATGTAGAGGATAAACTGACTGGAAAGAGGAAAATGTCATTGGGTTCGCCTGCGCCAATCATGGAGGAAGTGCTGAAGGAGAGAAAGCATGAGTATGGCAATCTGGATCCACAAGAATTGCTGCAAAAGCTTAATCAGGAAGGCTTTCATGGAGCCAAATTACAGCATAGTCCCACCTCTACGAGTATTCATTTGGTAGGATTTGATATCTCATTGACTTTTTCAATATAAATGTAGAAAATAATCTTTTCGATAATTATATAAACACAATCGATATAATTAAGAGAATTAATGTCTACTTGCAGCAAGACGAGGACACTTTGATTCAGATCGGAGATAATTCTACGCACATTTTCTGCAACGGCGATCAAAAGATCCGTAAACGTCTTAGGAGTATAATAATGCAGTGTCTGAAAAGATTTTGAGGTACGATATACATTTATAGTATTCTGATATTCTGTGAGACAATGTTTTATACTATTATATCGTATTGTATATACATTTATATATAATTTATTGTTTCAAAACGTGTATATTTATTTGTTTCATCATTCATTTTTATTCTATCTATGACATTAACTTAGGAATTATTTCTAAATTGACTGTACTAGAAAAGATTTTTATTATCTAATTATGTCAAATAAGGGGCAGTTTAAGTACTTTCAAACACAATACTTTTAACAAACATTGCTTAATTTAAAAACATATATTTGGCAATAATATAATAATGCTTTTCTATATATTTAATAACACAAGTCAAATTTCAGTTTCTATTATTGCTAGATTATTGCTAATAAGTGATTGAAATTTGTTAAATTTGCATTTGAATATCATTAATCAATCAATCATTTTTATTGTAGATAATACATATTAAGATCTGTATATATAAGTACAAACAATGTGATATAAATATATGGCGATTAGCAAATTAAATGTAAATAATGAAAGAAAAATTGGAATCACAATCCTTTACAATAATAGTATAATGAGTATACAATATTATTTTAACGATTTACATCCTAGAATGACTAATTTCTGCTGCATTCTGAACGAACAAGAAACCTCTATCATTTCATTATGCACGTGTTATATATTTTTTGATTTGCATGTTGTATACAAATGACAGCAAAATTATCAAGATTCTAAGATTCTTTTCGTTTACAAGATAGAATAAAGTTTACAAGATAGAATAAAAATAAATATACTGAAGCGATACAAAAATTTCAATAAACCTCAATGTTATAAATAAGTTTTTTTCAATTTTACGTCTAGAAAACATTAGGGACTTTCATTTGTTTGATGTATTAATTCTAGAGATGGTAACAATGAGTAAAGTTTATTCTACTTATTGATCTTAAAATATGTTGGTCTTAAAATAGTTTATATAAACATTTTGATTGAAACTATTCCGTTATGTATATTCTTACTTCAAACTCTAAAAGAAGAAAAAATATTATAAGCAATTCTATAATGCATGAATAAGTTTTACTCATCGCTAACAATAGTGACAAACTAAAAAATAAAGGTATTTATCTAGGATTATTAAGCGTACTTCGCGCGACCCATTTTTTCAACACGTTGATCTTATTTCTTACCTCGTCCATGATTGTATTGTTATACTCGTCGACGACGTTGTCATGTGCGTCAATAGTGGAGCAGCTGTCTTTTGACGCGACATGGATGTCGATCTTTCTCTTGGTTGCATTCAGAGTGCAGCAACTTATTACCTAGTTAGCTGTGGCGATACCGATCGCGACTCCCGCCACATACGAGACTAGAAAGAAATGGAATTCCGTTGGCTGGAAGCTATCGTCGCCGCCGGTCAACATGTGGTACCAGCGCCGTGTATAGGTCTTCCCTTGTTTCAGCAATCGCTCGGCTTTATCCAGCTTTTTATCGACGAATCTCTCGGCCTGGAATGCAATAATGTTCATCAGTGACTCGGTGTTACATCGAAGCGGAATTGGTAAAATCTGCACACCATAATTAATTTTATTAAATATTTTTATTGGGGATTATACAAAAAGTATAATATTGACAAAAATTAATATTGATATTAATTGTTATTGATTGATATTGCCGTATTAAATTTTAATATTGAATTAATATCATTCAATATGGATACTGTAAACGCAACAGTAATATGTATGATGACAACATACTAAATGTTCGTTCACATTTTCGCACAAAACTTCAAAGTTATTGTTCTTTACTTCACCAAGATAGACCGATAATGAAACCGCCAAGAAAACTCGTGGCAATGTACGAACTCTTCCTCCACAGTATCCCTACCTGCAAACAACAGTAGCAACATTACATTTAAAAAATTTGTAAACTAAAAAATTATAAACAAGCAAAAATATTTCCTACAATGAGAAATGATTAAACGCAAGCAATTTGTTAAGTTATAGTTGAAAACAAAGTTACAGATTCGAAATAATTTCTGTTGGAAGATAATCATATTTTAAAAAATATTATATTGTTTCTAGGAAGAAGTTAAAAAATAGAAAACTTTCAATTTTTAACTCAGAGAAATTACAAAATCTTTATGCAGCAACCTGACATTTGTCTCACCTTATCCATGAAATTTGGTCCTTCGCCGGTAATCTTTTCTTCCACCTTATCTGTTATTTTCTCGGCTTTACTCATAATCTTGTCCCAATTAATTTTTATGTAACCCTGATGTGCAGCTATTTGCAGCATGATGATTCCACCACCAACTGCACAGGCTGCCATCTTCCCAATCTTCATGGTGACGAATCCAGTTACCCTAAGTTACAAGGCAGTTAGTATGGAAGGTTTGCCTAATAAGTGTTAAATGCTCAGATATTTGAGAAATAAACAATTATGATAATTAAGACACAAAATGCGTACCATCCTGATGTGGTACCAATGATGATCTGTTTGGTCGCTGAAGATTTGCTCACATCACCCATGATTTTTTCTAAAAAGGATTTGGCTTCCTGTGAGGCATCTATACTACTGTAGGCTTCCTTGTTCGCGTCTTCTTTATTCTTTTTGGGTATTGGCATCTTGGTCCTGAAAAAAAAGAAGCATGTGAAAATACAACAAAGAATTAATATCTTAAAAGATTAGAATTCATGTAACATTGCTCAGTGATCTCATAAAGTCAAGTATGACTTTAAAAAAGTTCCTATATATACATAAATTCTATGCTTAAAAAGTTGTACATGTGAGTGAAAGAAGTATCAATGTAGAAAGTTTCACATACCTAACTGATATACAAAAAGATGTTTCAACTATCAACTCTATCTTTAAATTTGGAGTAAAGCAAATAAAAAATAATAAATCCCTGATTAGTCCTAATAATAATTGTTCCATTAACCTTTAAGTGGGTAAATGAGATAGCCACAGTACTCCAAGTATAGTTTTTAAAAAATCTTATTCTGGAAAAGAAAAACAAAAAAGTATTGCCCAGAAGTCTTAAAGTTTATTATTTTTACATTCATTTATCTCATGAAGTCTAATTTACAATGTGCTCTTTGCTTCTGTTGCTCTTTGCTTTTTCCCACATTTTTATCTTGCCTTTTTGCTTCTGTTTCTTCGTCTTCTGTCATTTGAGATAAAAATTGTTGAACTTCAGAAGCGATAAGAAACATACAGTGAAATCATTACTTTCTTGTTGTTTATTGATGTTAAACAAGGACTAAAAATGATTTATTTTGTAGAAAACCTTGCTAGAAAACATCTATGATTTTCGATAAAACGATTGAAGAAGGAAAAAGGTAATAGATAAAAAGCATGAAATGGGAAACGAAGAATACATTATAGATTAGACTTGTAAATGTAAATTTAACCACAACAGCATAATATACTGGTAAAAAGTATAACTGTAGAATTAAAATTTTGTATTCTGAGTACCCTACTTGTTACATATCTTTTCTCTAAATTTATTAGAGTGAAATCTTGTTTTGAACTAAGCTTGAAAACAGTGATTCAATTTTCAATCTTTAAAAGTGAGATTTTTCACTCTGAAAGTTTTAGAATCTTTAACCTACCTACTTAAAGGTTAACAACTATTCAGTAACAAAAGGATCACATGAGAAAACAGACATTGGAAGTTGACGTTATCCTCATTCTGTGGATTTGTGACGCAGTGAAGTAAATGAAAACGTAATTATATCGATGACGAAGTTTCGGAAGGAAATCACAGCGATTGTTCTCAAAAAAGGAAAACGAAAAAGAATGTCGCGGAATATCAAGGAAATTTCAACCGTAAATTCCCAATCGCTGTAACATTCAACGAATTCCGGGGAAAAGCTAAACGATAAAAGACTACCGTTTGAAGAATTTCCTTATTCTCGAGCGGAAGACACTTCTATTCGGCATGAGTATCGAGCGTGTTTTTAGGTGTATGACGAATCGTCTCGCGGACAGAAACGTTTTGCTTAGATTTACAGAACATTTCGATAAAGTATGAAATTTACCTATTCGACAATAAATTTTCGCAGACGGTGACGGATGCGACGACGTCAGTTGAGCAACCCGTCAGATCGAATGTAAATTGACGTAAATACGATACGATAATTTGGAGGGAGCCAGAACGGCTCCCAAGAATCAAGTTTGCTCGTTTTAGATGCACCTTCTACACCTTGTTCGTCTTTGTTCCTCTTTCCTTTTATCTCTTGCTTCAACTTGAAATTTATTTATTGTTTTTTTTTTGTAGTATTTACATTTTTTAATATACAATATATTTAAATCTACTTTTATTTGATCTTTTTTACATTTAAATTCGAATATTTCTATTTTTAGTTACTTTAACTTAATTTATTAATTGAACTGCTGAAACTTTTCTTCTTAATATTTATATCTATTATAACTTAAATACTACTATTATAGTATATATATTATCTATATTTAATCTTTTATATTTAATCTTTTTATATTAATATCTGATATTTTGTTTCTTAGTCACTTTAAATATCAATTAAATTTATCGCAATTTTTGCCTGAAATATCTATTTCTCGATATATGTATATTCATCGTTAATTCTCGACAATCAAATGTCACTTAAAAAAAATAGTTAATATTGAATAGCAGTGAATTTATTTTTTCTCGTATTTTATCGCATTCAAATTTACCGCGCTCGAAACTTCGAAATGACTGCCTTGACTCGGCCGCACTCGGCATCGTTCGGTCATGCTCGGTATTCGTCGGCATTTCGTGAGCCGGGTCGGTCAGACCGGCGCGACTCGCTTCATGCCGCTCGTACGTGATCGCGTGCAGTTCGTGTCGTTGCCGTTGTCGCTGCTGTCGCTGTTGCGCCGCCGCCGCCGCCGCCGCCGCGCCGCCACCACTATCATCTCGCTGATAAACTCTTCGCGATGCGGTGACGGCGCCGTGGGATTGACTCGCGTATAATCGCGCGCGCGCGCGCGACTTCCTCGTCGTAGGTTTCGGAGTCGTCGTCGTGCGTGCGTGATATCCGTCTCGCGCGGGTCGCGGATGTGTGACGCGCGTGTCTTTACCGGGACCGCGACAGAGCGTGTGTAAAATGGCACAGGACACCGACGACATCAACCTCACGCCGCAGGAATTGCAGACGCTGTCGGAGCTGGACAGGTGATTAACTCCACCCGGTTCCACGTACACCTCCGCGGTGTTCCCGGTCTCCCGCGACCGGGATTAATGTCGCTGCTTCCGTTCCGTCCAGATGACGAGTATCACGACTATCACGTCACTGATATATAACCTAGAAAAGCGCATTTGACAGCGCGCTTGTGCGCAACCTACTGACACCGTTTTCGCGTTTCCGTCTGTACCACATTCCGTGGGCTTGTCGCAAAATCTCGCCGCGATAACAATGCGCGCGCGGAGCCGAATGGCCGGCGTCTTGATTATTAAATCGCCGACCCGGTCGCCGATAATAACGATCGACGTAAACACATGCGTTCCGCACGAGTCTCTCGACCGGACGGAATGCGCGCGTAAATGCGATATAATACATCGTGAAACTGAAGGCACTTTCTCTCTTGTGTGCATGCACAGCCGGCAGTTCGGTTTCCTCAAGCTCAACTCCCCGGAGCAGGCGAAGAGGAAGACCCTGGTGGTGCGTGCCATTAAATACCTGGAGCGTATGCTGGTTCAGGCCCAGGCGGAGAGACAGCGCAGGAAAGCTGATAGTACAAAAACGTGCCCGGATGACTCCAAGGAGAATGATGATGAGGATAAGGGAATAAGCATCGATCCCAAGACATATTGCAAGCTGGGACACTTTCATCTACTTTTAGAAGATTATAGCAAAGGTATGACTTCCTTCTTATGGTATATCTTGTCATAAAATTGTCGGGAATATTTTACATTTAAAATTCAGATCAATTTGTGAATCTCATTTTAATCAAATTCTATTTTACAATTGAAGACGCTTTGTCAAGCAAACAAAACTGTTTCCTTTAATTCTTTTTCATTTAGAAGAAATAAGTACTTGTTTTATAAATTAAATTAGTGAGATATTAGAAATATAGATATATTGAGATAGTAAGATTATAGCAAAAATATAGCTCTCCCTTTCTATATTATTTTTTTCTATAAAACAATTGAGAATGTTTTATGTCTGTTGAAAAAGAATTTAGGCTAATTATATATTAGTCATTTAATTCAAATTCTATTTTATAATTGAAGATGTTCTTTCAAGCAAATGAGATTATCTTTTTTATTTATTTTTTATTCTAAATAAATACTTGTATGAATCAAATAATAAAGAATTTAACTGAGTAATTTTAAACTCGAGATATGTATATCATATCGACAGTTGGGAAACCTGTCCAAACAATTGACAGGAGGGATTCCTAGGGCTTCAAATTTCATTGATTTATCATATATTTTCTCTCACTTTTAAACCTTATACCTTGGATAAAACAATTTTCGTTTTATTTATATTAACGAGCAAACCTGCTCTGATGACTATCCTCTTTTTTTTTGATACAGCAATGTCAGCGTATCAGAAATTCTACTCTTTAAAAGGTGACTACTGGAAGGATGCTTCATTTCTATATGGACTGGGTCTCGTTTACTTCCACTTCAATGCCTTTCAATGGTGAGTGTGAAATAATTTTCTTTTTTTTAATATGTGCCCTACAAAGGAACGATGAATTCTATAACAAGAGTATCAATATTCAATGTGTGAGTGTATCTTGTGAGCCTAATTTTATATTAGGTAATTAAGTAAGATAAAATAAATTAATTGTGAATTAATTAATTGAAATTGAATAAAGAAATTTAATGAATAAAATAAATTATAACAAATTTCAATAAATTTAATATTTATGATTAATAAAACTGATGAATTCTATTAAACTGCATTCACTCCATTAAATAAACTTGATATTTTTTAAATTAAAATTTATTAGAGAATATTAAAGTTATTAAATTCCAAACCTGAAGCAGAATATTAATAAAATTGCATTAAAATATATAAAGATACAATCTCTTGGCTGTTTATTCTTAAATTTTGCAAAAAAATATTTTAAATTTCTTATTAATGTTTTTTAAATAAATTCACTGACGAAGAATTTATATTTTATATTTATTGGTTTTTTTTGTTAACATTACTAAGATAAGTTGCAGAAGATTCTACGCTCTCATTTTATTTAAAATGGAAAGTGATAGCTAAAACGAGCATTCATATAAGCTACGGGGATGTAAAACGCTAAATTGCTTTTACTTCTCGCGCGTAATGTAAACGTAGAGCAGAATCCCATGGTTCAGTCGGCTAGGTCCTAGGCAAGCTACGTAAGGGCGAAGGGCTCAACCGACGAACGGCAAACATGGCCGACATAAAAAAAATTCCGCAATCTCTCTCGCGAGAGTTGCTCGCCTTGAGAAGGGGGCGTCGGCCCTTGCACGACGTACACACACGCAGAGTTCATCGTTCCCGTGTAGCCTCTCTCTCCGTGCATCCTCTGTTTATTTTTTAATTTTGTATCGCACACGTGACACCATCGCTCGCCGATAAACGGCAAGCTGCCCTTCCGGGCGCCGGTGTGAATCCGAGAGTCGATAAAGTCGCAAGCATTTCGGTTCTCTTGATTGACCAAAATTCTACCAAAGTTTTTAATTTTTATTCTTTATCTTTTTTGAAGTCTTAGAAAAAGATGAAGAGTTAGTTAAACTGAGATTTAATTGCATTGGTAGAAACAGGCATGAGAGAGTTTCACTTTATTTTGTCTTATAAACAGTTTAATGATAAATTTTTAACTGTAACAGAATCAACAAGTAGATCTCATACATACATATGTATAAAATAATAATATGAAAAGATTAATGCTTATAAGGACATCTAACAGTGGCTGTTTCTTACTTTTATTATATCAAAATATAAATACATAAATACGATAGAGAACGTCAATGATCGGTCAAAGTTTAAATAAGTTTGTGATGAAGTTTCGAATAATACAATATATATTCTTTGTTAAATCAATTTATCGCATATATAACTGCCTAGCAAACGAAAATGGATTGAAATGGATTGGAAATTTTCAATCCATCCGAATCTGTATTTTAAATCCATAAAAATGGAATGGATTCGATATAAAAAAATTTTTATACATGTAAAAATTTAAATAAATTAAAGTAGTAATTACATGAAATTCTATAGTTATTATTTTAAAACTTGTAATACAAAAAATATACTAGCTGTATAATAAAGGGAATATTAATATAAAATATACATAAAAGCGATTGATTTATTAACTAAAAATAAGGAATTTATATATGTAACATTTAATGTACATATTTACGTAGTTTTTTAGTTGTTTCTTTTAACTATTAAATGAAGTAAGAATTAATACATTTTTACGGTGCAACTGTTTTTTAACTCAGTTGAATTAAAACGAAAAACTTATTTATAATTCTGAATAAAGCAGCATTCATGATGCATTTTTAAATGAAACAATGGATTTTCTACTCACAATTTTGAATTGTATAACATTCATGGCTCATTTTAAAAGAAAAACTTTTTTTTTATTCAATTGGCTTAAAACACTGCATTTCCTATTCAGAATTTTGAATTGAGCAGTACTCATAATAGCATAGAAATGGCTAATATTATTTTTAGATTTAACTAGATTGAACAACTTCATTTCCTATTCGGAATTTTGAATTAAGTAGTGAATTAAATAGTATTCATGATACACAGAAATGACCGATATTATTTTTAGATTCACTTGATTGCAAAACTGCATTTCCTATTCACAATTTTGAATTGAGAAGTATTCACAATGCACACAAAATACTATAATATTATTTTTTGAAAGATTGAAAAGTATAGAAATATATTCTATGCCATTCTTATAAATGAATAAAAATGCATTCAAGATTCAAAAGGAATAGACATTTTTTTCATGCAATTTTTGTAAATGAATAAAAATGCATTCAGGATTGAAAAGGATTCATTTTAACATTTATGAATCCGTATTTCTGAAAATTTAAATCCATTTTAATCCATTTCATTCCATTCTCGTTTGCTGGGAGGCGCTGAAACCTTTGGATTTTCAACACAATCTGCTAATAATTATTTCTGCCTGAATTAAATTAGAAAAACTGTAAAGAACTTATATTGCGAAAAATATTATTTTAGTTAGAGTTCGAACATGAGATCTTAATATAGGGATGTTCGAATGTTTCGGCGCGCAATCATATCTTGAATAAATTGATTTAACAGAGAATGTATATTGTATTATTCGAAACATTAAGTTTTGACTATTTATTCATTGGTGTTCTCTATCCTATTTATAGAGTTGTCACAGATCTGGAAAACCGGGAAAAGTCAGAAAATGTAAAAAAGTCTGGAATTTTCTGAAACTGTTCCAGATAATTATTATAATTTAATATTACATCTGACGTATATAGTGAAATACATTCAAAACTTGCTTTACACTTTAAATGATTTTAATAAAATAATTAAAATTTATATTTTATAAATGAATAACAATAATCAAAATTAATTGAATTAAAGACTCTTCATGCTAAATACAATTACAATAATTAATCCAGTACAAATTAATGGCTATATGGAGTCAAATATTGTTTTCAGTGCGTCAATTATGAACAAATTTTTGTAATTTGTATTTATATCTTATTCAATATTTTTATTTGATCGCCCTTTTTCGTAACTGCATTCTTTTTTCCAATACTAACTTATTTTTTATTGGCTCGAATTTGCACCCAAAATTTTAATATGTTACTAAGCCTTTTTTTGCGTTATTTTTAATAATATAGGCTAGATTTCCTACAACTCTTTATAAATGTGTTAAAATTTACATATTTTACATTGGAAAGTTTTCCTCTCTCAT